AGCGTTCGAACTCTCCGAACAAAGCCGTCGGATATGGGTGAACAAAGTATGCAATACTATCGTGACACTGTTTTGTATAATCGTGGCACTGCTCTGTATAATCGTACCAGTAACTCCAGCGACATTCGGCCTGCCTTCTAATTCAGTCTTGAGAAAAATCACCGCAGATTTAAGAGCCGCTGTCAGCTACTTTTAAAGAAGCCACTTTTGGCTTAAGAAGAGGCTGGCAGCGAAATCAAAACTCTGTACTGATTTTTTTTGGGATGATGATAGGCAAGAGCAAAAACGAACGAGCAAAGTTTAAATCAAGGTAAGTAGCGGTGGGAGAGGGGTTGGTTGTATAAGAAATTTATAACAATATTATTTAGTACAGTAGCGAAGGAAAGTAAATAATTGAAGAGGAATGTTTCGAACCATTTAGTTGCACAGAACTCCCCATTCACTCCTCAGCGGGAAAATTGAAAAATCAGGAAAATTGAAAAATATACAAAATTTCTGCAGAAATCGGAATGGGTATGCTCGTGAATGGGAACGACGACGGTGTAAGCGCTAAACTGACTTAGAGAAAGCAATTCGCTGATCAATTGATTGTGGAATAAGTTTTTAAGTACACTGAAAAGTTTTGAGACGGAAACATGTTTTGAACACAGTGCTTCCTCCGCTAAGGGGATGCTGAGAAGCATGGTTGGCAGCAAAATGCAATGATAAGAAAAAGTGAACGAAAAATTTTACAGATAAGATTGTTTTTGCACTTTCACCTATAACACTATTTTTAAAAAAATACCGCAAAACTCTGGAATGAGCTCATAGTTAATAGACTAAGACTACTGGGGCTGCCCCAACAATCTTTTCTGTAGTGTTACTGGGGCGGTTCGGGTTCTGCTGAACAATTCCTTCCAAATTTAGAAAAAGGTGGCATTTGGCGACGATGGCTCGGATTTCGTGAGGGCTCAGCCGACCAGGAAAAGACGCAAATGAGCCCAGAATTTAAGGAGCTAACAGCAAAATATGATACCTATAAGGAGTGCAGCGATTTGCTTGTGCAGAAACTGGAAGCCTGTATTCAACAGAACAAAAATGTTATTGACATTGGAAAAGTAATTTTTATTCTTTTTTATGCGTTTTGTGCTGTATAACAGCAACACAAAACGCACATTGTCACGGGGTTATTTATGTTTGTGTGTGTGTGTGTGTGTGTCCCACATTTTGTCCCGTACTTTCAATTCGGGAACCACAGAAGCTAGGCGGCTGAAATTTTAGCGTATTGTTCCCCGCCAGCGGGTGGCGCGGCAAATTTAAATTCAGCCTTTTCGCACCCGCGGGTAAAACGTAAGGCCTCGAAAAAGTTTTTCGGGTAAAATCAGTATCTCGGGAGCCATGGAAGCTAGGAAACTGGGGTTTTATGGGTATGTCCCCTGAGTGCGTGCGACCCAAAGGACCTAAACTCAGCCTTTCCGTGCCTGTGGCTAACACGCACAGCCTCGTAAAAATTTTAGCGGGTAAAATCATTATCTCAGGAAGCGCAGAGGCTAGGGAACTCAAGTTTTATGTGTATGCCCCTTGATTTTGTGCAACCCAGAAAATTTAAATTCAGTTTTCCCGTGCGTTTGGGTATTGTGTACGGCCTTGTGGAAGTTTTGGCAGAAAGTTACTTCAGGAACCATGAAAACTAGAAAGCTGAAATTTCAGAACAATATTTTCTGCCGCTGCAGTTATCTCAAACTCAAATTTAGCTCCGAAGTATGCAAAGGTCTTACGTAAGAGCACTTGAAAATTGTGGTGTGAAAGTAGCTAGCTTGGAAGCCGAAAAACTACAACGTTGAAATTTGGAGGGATGTTCATGTGTTTTCAAATTCATCTTCCACATATCGGACGCGTGAAATTTTCAGTGGGAAATTCCTCACCTTAGGAGGCAGAAAGCATATCTATTGTTTTTCCACATACGAAAGTGTAAAACAGTTATATTTTTAACAGCAAACGTCCGCCGGACGGAACTGCGCAAGACGCATGATCGCACCGGCCAACCTGGGTTCAGTCCGCTTTGCTATTTATTTTTATTTTGTATGTTATTCCGCGTTATCAGTTATGGTTTCTAAGGGCGATTTGTATTAATTTTTCGTTTATTAGCGGAATTTTTTGTCCAACGCAACTAAATTTTGTAGTTATCGAGTTAATCCAATCCAAAATGAAAGAAAACAAGTGCCACAAATGTCAATACTAACCGGAATATCACTGCGGGCAATAAAGCTGGTCGTGATGTTACTGGGATGCTTCCTCACGCTGATTCTGGACTGTATACAATGAAAAATTTTGAAAGGAAAAAACCAGCAAATACTTTTACTTGAAAACTGATATTTTTAACAACAGCGAACAGACATTAGGCGGCAACTGGGGATATGTGGCACAGGATCGAAGGCCCTGGCATAGTTACCCACAGCGTACAGGAACATCTCAACACCATCACTGGCACTAGGATACCTGCACTGATTGTCCTGACCAAGGTAAACTAAGTATTAGTTGAGACTTCTAGCTGTAGAAATCAACAAGGAACGAAAAAAAAAAAGAAATTAATAGTTATGAAAAAAGAGAACGTAAACATTTCGGAGATTCTTTTGATTTCTTTTCCTTTTGTTTTTAACTGATTTTGAAAATCGAAAATTTCGAAAATCGAAAAAAAATCAAGCATAATTTTTTATTACTTCGCTATGCTGGTGCTTTTGATTCATGAACAGCTAGATGCAGCGGACATCTCACATCTTGATTCGTTCCCAATGAGCCATTCGGATTGCAGATTGTCAACGAACCAAACGAAAATCCATACGAGAAGCTTGCAAATTCATTCTCCTCATTCTCTAATTTTTTTCCACCCGAAAAGCATGAGTCTATACGAGCACTGGCCAGCACAGCATTTAATCTTGGCAGACTTCAACGTGCTCAACAAGTACTATTAATTTCTAATTCGATTTTAGGACAAAAGAACCTGACATCGTAAACTGCAACCATCTTTACCCGGAAAGGATACGATCACAATCCGCGATCCACAGTACCTTAAAACCAACTTTCCACTTTCCTCCATTTTACCTCATTCAGCCATTTATCTCTGTCCTATTTTTCGGCTGCTGAAACTCATCAGTAAAGGCGCAAAAGCTTTCCATGAATCTTCCCATAAGCAATTTTTGAAATGTATACTTTTTTTCTCAAAACGCACTAATGCTTCCCCCTAGCAAACTTTGAATGCCCAACAGGCTATCCACAGCTGATACAGCATTGGTCAGAGCAACTGTAATAAAAATTTTACGGGACTTTGAACCGTAGCTAACAAATGATTAAGGAGCAGCTCTAATAACACAAAAAAATTTAAGCTTGAAGGACGAAGATCGATCCGACATCTACGACGATTTTTTGCAACGGAATACAAGGAACTGATGGACGAAAGAGCAAAGCTGGAGAAGTGCGTCGTTAAATGTATCCCTCCTTGTTGCCATTTTCTCAGCACATAAGAAATGACGCCGAGGTGCCTCCGGGAACAAGCAAAAATTTCTCCAGAAGACACTAGGGGAGTGAAGCTGGACTCAGTAAGGTTAATCCCAAAGCTAGCTCCGAACGAATTAGGAAAAAACACCATGGAAGGATCGGATCTGACCACGAGTACTTAAAGCACATTCCACCTTTTTTGATTACGGAAAATATTTTCACTGGCACTACAAAAAGAGTTTTAGAGCTCGTAAACACATGGATCGTATGAAACATGAAGTGAAAGTATCGAAAACAACGGAAAAAATCGAAAAATACGCAGTTCTGTATGAACAAGCAGTGGAAGAATTTGATGCGCAAGCGCGACGAACAATTATCCTTCTGAATCAACTGCCAAACATCAAAAATGAGCACACGGTAAGTTTTTTTTTTTTCGGCTACCTTGATCATTGTTTTCCCTCATTCCGCGTAGTAGAGAAGGAGAAATGAGGTAGGAGCGGGCTTCAGTGGTGAGCTTGAAAATTTAGCAGCCGAAACAGCTGGCGACTGTGTGATTGCAGATTGCCAGTGGTAATTATAGGCTAGATTTTGTTGGTACCATGAGCTTTCGCTGTTAAATGTTCCCCGATGTTAGGAATTGAAATGAGAGGTCTAATGAAATATCTAATTTATTACTAACACCGCCTTGCATGGTTGTGAATATATTTTGTTTTTGAAATCAAAAAAAGTGCAGCTGCGAGGTTTTCGACATATTTAATCCGGTACTACGCAGCGTACGTTTGCCATCATAAATCCAAGTCGGAATCTCTAGCACCAGAAATGTATTCGATGTAGCAACGGCAGATTTGCAACGAATCAATTTTTTTTTGCTTTAGGACGAAATATGTGTAAATTATTTAAGATAGGAAATGAACGCCACATAATCCTTCCTTTTGGAGATGAAAACGAAAGCCAAAATCATCAGCAAACTAATCATCCGAGTGATGCAGCACTGATCAGAACAACTGGAAAAGTTGCCAGTTGCTGCATAGCCGGAGGCTAAAAACTGCAAAATAAGAAGCAAGCTAAATCAGCTTTTTTTTTGTAGAAAGATGTCAAGGAATTTTGGTCAATTCTTCGTAATTTCCATCAAGAATGCGACAAATGCATCGATCTGAAATCAATAGAACAATAATGATTTCGAGATTTTTGTTGAAGAATCTTAATCTTAAATGATTTTTGTTGAAGAATCTTAAATTTCATCGCTTCTTAAATTTCTTGAGTAGCAAATTTTATGTGCTATAGACCTGACTTGTGTTATGAATTTTTTTTTTTTTTTTTGCAATAATATGTTTTTCTGCACGTGAAATTCCACATCAGCGATGATGCCTGTATCAGCAAGAAATTGCCAGATAATGTGTAGCAGTGGCGAGAAGAAACGCGGGCGTAGCCCAGGATCGGGTTTGAGCAAGCCCTCCGCGAGAACAGCATTCACGTTCCCTCTCACGGATGAATACATGAAATTTGACGTAACTTCGCAACCAGAGCAGCTAGAGTGCTGAAATTTTCTGAGCGCGGCCCAGCTACGAAAAACTGATCCAACTGATCCAGCTATCCAGCAGCTACAGGTATTTGCACTGCCGCAGAAGGTGATCACTTGCCTGTAATACTGGAGGCTACAGCAATTTTCAAGTGGCAAAAGGGCGAAATCTCTGTGCGATTTGAGGAGCACCGCAGATTTCTCGGAGAACTGGGATTAGTCCACAACTGCTTACGAAATGTATCAGAATCCGGCCCCATCCCGGGACTACATCGTAGATGGTTGACCCGCGGAAGAAGCTGGACGTGTTAGGACCGAAAAATTTCACCGCGGCACTTGCACCGGCGAATCATGGACCACGATCTCTCGGGCGAAGTTTATTTTTTGGAAGATTTCTTGCTTTTTTTGGAAGAAACCCTAATTCCCCGGGAATTTCGCGGCGCCTCCGGTGCTTCGGGTCTTCGTTCTTTTCATCCACTAGTGGTACGCGGAATTCAGCCGGGTACTGCGTCCGCGAATCACTCACGGCGGGGTCTCGGACGAAGTTTATGTCCCCGGGACATCTCTGAGCCTAAGCCTA